CCCCAAAACCCCAAAACCCCAAAACCCCAAAACCCCGTGTGAGAAATTAATATTGAATTTAGCACAGTTTCAAATAGAGTTATCTTGGGAAGCATTCGATATTATCTCTGATCAAAGAAGCGATTTCTTGGATATCAATCTCTGCGCCTCCACGAAGAAGTAAGATTTCCTTTCTAAACTCTATGATATCGTCCTTCTCAAAGTGGTCTTTATAAACTCTGAAGAACTCGTCTAGTTGTTCCATAGAGACTTTGTACTGGACGTTGGCCATCAGGTAGAAAATTCTGGAAATGACTAAATATGGGTCGATCTTTACATCATTGCTGATTTTTGTAATGGCTGTTTCCATATTTTCAGGATTTACATAGTTCACATCTGGATCTCCAGCCTTAAAAAGAAGCAAGTAGGAGTCTTGCTTGAGTAGTTTGCTACCATTCAGATGAGCGAAGGTGTCAATTTTTTCAATAGGTAATTGATCTTCACCATCAAAATGTTCGTTCAGGATGTTGTGATTCTCATTGATGAGCATTTTTGGAGTTCTAAGAATGCTATTTATCATCAACATCCTCATGGAGACCCTCAATTAATATCCTTCTGATATTCTTGAATACTTGATACATTCTCATTGCTCTGAGAGATTTTTGATGCTTTTGCTCTTTAATTACTAATTCTATATAATCACGTCTCTTCATCATCTGAATGCTTGTATCAAGGATATAGGCGAACATCACCGAAGGGAAATAATACAAGATTAAGAAGGAAGCAAACAAGATCGTTACTATCATGATAGGAATATCTACCTTCTCATTATCAAATACATAGAATCGATCATATCCATCTGCAGCTATGATAAGACTGAGCCATAGGATAAGCACCATGTATCAACCTTGAATGATGAACTTTTGGCCAACCACTCCAATCCAGCCAAACCAAAACAATCTTTCATGTCTGTTCTGATGATAGCCTAGGCTCGTTTTTCCTGATTTGAACATCCAGCTATACTTTTTATTTTGTTCTCTGATATTTCTGAAGACAGACTCCCGAGGGCCATTGATGCCTCTGTGTTCGTCCTCATCAGACTCTTCCTCCTCTTGATAATCCTGGTTCTCATAGCCAATGGTGAGATAGAGAGGGGCAGGAATGTCCTCTTCATGGTCAACAGGATCAATAATATCCATATCAACATTAAATTCAAAATTTTCAGCAAGACTCACGTCTGGGACTAGGTAAAAGTATATAGTCTCAAGATGCCATTTAGATAAAAATAAGAGGACAAAGCACACAATAGGAACTCCATAAATCAATCCAGATCCGGGTTCTACGTTCAGTGTCTCAATCAGTCTGTAAGATACCATTAAACCTCCTACGAAGAAGTAGAACTTTAGGTTAATGAACCCAATAATCTCACTCAGAAAGTCAGTGATGCAATAGCCAAGATACATTCAGAAGTTGAAGTCTCTTCGTAGGAAACTTTCTGTCAAAATTGGGAGCTCAACAGGACATATGAAGCCTTGCCTCATTATCTGGAAGTTGAGGTTTCTCCTGATAGAGGAGCTAATGTTATGGTCGTCAATCATCATAGCTTCATAGACATTCTTGAGATCTCTTAATTTCTCTTGGTCTTGACTGATAGACTCATAGTCCAGGAAAGTCTCTAAGCGCACATAACAAGTGTAGAATAACACTATGCTAGAGAATATCCATAATGCTGTAAAAATGTACAAGCCATAGAGCAAATTTTCAAGATTTGTGTGATACCAATCAAGGTAACTGTGGAAGTGTAGCATCAATACTATGGACAGAATGAATACGAAAATAGCCAAATCTCTGAGTAAGGAATAAACAGCCTTCATCTTGTATTGAGAGATTGAGAAATATGAAAAATTCCCAGCACAACTAAGAATTACCTTGAGAAAAGCTATTAGGACAAGGAAACTTCCACCAAAAGCAATACCCCAACTGATCATTTTATCTGTCTCAGGAGAAGGATATACTGCATGCTTTACACTTGAATCAAAATTTTTAATGTGATAGTTATTGTGAGATTGGGCTACTTGTTCAGTAGTTGTGGCTGAGTGCATTGTTACAGTAATATGGTCGCTATCTTCAGCAGGCACAGGATCACCATTAGTAGTAGAGGGAATAGTAACTATCTCATCAGGATCAATTGATTGGGTGTTCTCTACATTAAGCATATGATTGAAACGATCGTCAAGATCCTCTCCTTCTTCAAGAGCTGCTCTAGGAGATCCAGTGTTTTCATTTTGTGGTGTAGCATCAACAGAAGGATCTATTACAATTACCTGGTCATCTAATATAGACCCGCTATTATCATCTATATCTCCTGAAGTGGGCTGCTGCAGATAAGATATGTTTTCTTGGGCTGGTAAAGATGGAGAGTTTGCTAGCCTATTCCTAACACTGCTAGGCAGGCTTATTCAACCAGTAATTATTAGATTAATCAAAATCACTTGTGTAATTAGATGTAAGCGTGACCGAAGTCTCCATCTTTTTGGTGCTTTGTATTTCATAAAATTATTATAAATTCTGCTGATAATCAGAAAATTTGAGAAATTTCAATTAATGGGCTATAATTTGGGGTTTTGGGGTTTTGGGGTTTTGGGGTTTTGGGGTTTTGGGG